GTCAATACGGTAGCACACAAATGGGCTTTGCTTATCACCAGCGTGTGTCATGGTGTGACATAAGGTCATTTTAACAAGGTCAAGGTCGCAGACATTCCTTTAATATCTTTTTTAATAGTAAAACATAAATAAGATGAGATCTACCCTTAAAAGATTGCTTTAACATTAGAACGTGGCATGACCTTGACCCAAGGTCATTTCTCCCTGTCTGAAGCTCCGACGGAAGACCTACTCGTTGCTTTGCAACGAGCTCGGCTCTAGTTTGTAGATATAACTCTATGGATCGGAGCTACAGATACGGTGATAGAGAGGAAATTTGTATGGAATTCCACAGGACAACCCTTAACATTCAGCTTTTGGAGAGAAAATGAACCAAACGATTTCGATAACATAGAAGATTGTGCTTCTTTATATGCTAGTGAAAATAGGATAGGTCAATGGAATGACCGTCCATGTTTCTGAGTTACCAAATATATACTGAAAGGAAAAAGAAACGCATATTTTACTTTTAAATTAAATTAAAACTATTATTTCGGAAATGTTTTCCAGTATTGTTATCAAACATTTTAATTTATCTTTAATCTACAAGTTACCAAAATCTTGTGTGACTTTGACTGATAATTCCTGAGTTATTGAAATTGATATGTCGATACCGCCCAAAATTAAAATAAAAATTCTCATCATCTCCCTTGCACATTGGTAACAGCCTTGATTTTCCCGTGCATTGAGTTCATTAGAGCATTTATCTTTCTCATTTGATTATTATTCAACCCTTCCGACAATAGTCTTAATGGTTGATAGTAGCTGTATTATTTCAAAGCCAACAAATCCTTTCGCCAAATGAGTGCCACGAATTTTCATTTTAGGATAGAATTTACAGAATCCAGCTGGTTTGGTACACGTAAATGTTTGTGAGAAAGACTCGACAAACACTGGCTACATTTTCCAAGTGTGAACGTGTGTAACTTCCGTCAGCCATACCATGATTGCACGAAATTTATACTGATTGCAAATGCGGAAAACGATGTCTATAACTCCAGTGCATCAATTAGCACTACAAAATGTGATCATAAAATTGTCATCATCAAAATGCACATGTTTTTGGCTTTTCATCATATTCCCTACGTGATGCCATACATTGCATGGTTGAGTAGTTTTGACCAGCAATTTTAGTGCAAAGTAACAAAAATACATATATGACCAATTTTCATAATTTTCGGCCACATAGTCATTGATTTTTCGCATATTATGTTCTTATGCGTTTCTTTTTCCTTTCAGTATATATGTGAAATGAAAATTACGTAAGGTCTTCTCTGGAAGATATATATTTTGCATTCTGTTTACTTCACTTTGACTCAGAAGTAAGGCGTTGATTATTTGCAATTTATCAATTTGATGTAGATGTAAACGACACTACTTCAAACTTTTATCATTAGTCCTGCTTTCTTAAATGTATAGAGAGAGAGAGAAAGAAATGTATATACCTTATTTCATATTTCTAAAGTGATTCTGTAGATAAACAAGTTCAATTTCTACAAAATGTGTCCTTCATAATAACACATTTGTATGTATATTAAAAAAGAGATGGATAAAGAGTCAATTTCACTTATTGATTTTCATTATATTTATAATCAATAATTTGCATGATGAATTGTCCACGGATTTTGTTCGTTTTCCCGTTCAGGACAAAAAAATATGACAGGTATGGACGGAAATGTTCACTCTTCGATATGTAGCAATTGATTTTCATATTGAAGGTTCATATTTACTCTCTCTTTAATCTGTTTGGTTTGAAAAGACGTAAAGCTTGGATCAATTCGTTAGTTATCAATAAGTTTCGCTAAGCGTCAAACATCATAATGCTTGACCGCTTTAAGGTTACGTCAAATTTTGTCGTAGTCTTTAGAAGCAATACATGTGTACTTTTTGAGAATAATAGATAGAGATTTTTTATTGCAATTTTATGTCATGCTATAGATGAAATTGACGTGTAGGTTTCAGCCATTAACCCTCTTTGTGGCACCAACATTAGTGACCTATTGACCTTTGACCTCAATCGTCCTTCTATCGTGTGGTTTAATAAACAAAGTTTTTTTAATTAATGGTGGGTTCAAACATATCTATTTTATTTTCTGTAAACGTTTGTGGTGCCAGAATGATATTTGTTGTGGCATATGGTCCAGATTCGAGTCAGGCTTATTTTTTTTTCTCTGTGATTTGGTACATTGTCTTCGAGAAAACCATGCAACCTATCATCGATCATGTTTGATATCTGAATCTCTTCCCCATTTTAAAATAGTATTTTTTCGTTATTTCTGGATTACGTCAAGAAGCACAGGGCGGTGTGATCGTGTGGTGTGCCTGTTCTGCTCCATAAACTTCATAAGATTCCTTACAAACAAAGATACATTGCACGTTCCAATAAATGTTCAACAAAGCCTCTTTCGTTACTCCTCACTAAAATACTGACAGTGGTGAAGGAAAAACTTCAAGAGTACTGTGCAACTATATATTCAAGAAGTGGTGTGAATCAGATGTTGATACTTAAAAATTCTAAAGAACTTTTGGACAATTTGAAATCACAAGACTTTTCAAAAATCAACAGCTAAAAAACTTACGACTTTTCAACTTTAAACACAACAATTCCCCACGACAAATTAAAATCCAGGCTTTTTGATATCATTGACAGCTGCTTCTTCAATAAAATTGGAACTCGTAAATTTACTTACCTCGTCATTGGTCATTTGCAAAATTATTTTGTTAAAACAGATTCTGATTGCACTTATAAGTACTCTGAAGTTGACATCAAGAAGATGCTTGAGTTTCTGATTGACAATATTTATGTGGTTTTTGGAGACCAAGTATTCCAAAAATCTATTGGAATTCCCATGGGTACAAATTGCGCTCCGTTATTAGCAGACTTATTTTTATATTCATATGAAGCAGAATTTATGCAAAATCTTATGCGTGAAAAGAAGAAAACACTTGCTGTGGCCTTCAACTCGACATTTAGATATATCGACGACGTATTGTCAATTAATAATGATAATTTCCATTCCTACGTCGATACGATATATCCTGGTGAGCTTGAGATAAAAGATACCACAGAGTCCGACACTTCTGCTTCATATTTGGATATTTTACTTGAAAAAGACCCTAATGGTAATCTAACAACCAAGCTATATGATAAACGTGATGACTTTAACTTTTCTATCGTCAACTTTCCTTACTTATGCAGCAATATACCTTCATCACCTGCATACGGAGTATATATATCTCAATTGATTCGATACGCAAGAGCATGCTCTACGTATGAAGAATTTCTTAAACGAGGTAAATTATTGACAAGCAAGTTGATGAAACAAGAGTATCAGCAGTTTCGTTTAAAGTCATCATTTCGTAAGTTCTATGGTCGATACAATGACCTTGTCAGCAAATACAATTTATCATTGAATCAAATGCTGACTGACGTTTTTCACACCACTTGTTAGTCCATTATTTATACACTGAATTGACGACGGATTTTTCCGTTATATCCTGATCATGACAACGAGCACACGGCGGGTGTGACCGATCGGCAGGGGATGCTCACTCCTCCATGGCACTTGATCCCACCTCTGTTGTTTCTGAGGTCCGTGTTTGCTCTGCTCTGATTTTGTATATTGTTTAATGGACTTGAGATTGTATACTGCTCGTTATCTCCATATCCTTCCTATTTTGTATTGTTTAAAGGACCGTTCGTTATCCTTATGTTTATTATAAAACACACACACCCTCACACACAAAGCTTTTTTTTGCTTAACCTCTTGTATACATTATTGAAAACACGATTCAGTGAAACTGTCATTTATTCAAATTACAAATGACTAAAACTAAAAACTACATTATATATTACAAAAAATTATATACCAATGAATTGGCTGGGCTTAAAACAAAATATACAGTTAATGACAAATTGACTCGATAAACATACAGATTAGTCACATGACATAATTTTTCCTGATCACATGACACAAAAACAACCCGGCCAATAGTATAGGGGAAAAACACTTAAAAACAAAAAGGTTTTGCACATTGCATGTGACTTACCACACATTATTTAAGGAATAAAGCTCATGTTATACCATAAAATGTAACTTTGGCAGTTTGCGGCTTTTCATATCATATAACATAGGTCAAAATAAGCTTCATTTCTTATAATTTAATTTTAGTTTAGAAAATAAGATAATTTTTCCTTTTAAATGGCTTCAAATTGGGCATATATTAACGTCAGGCGGAGTAATATGTTCGTGACTTGATCCAGTGTGACGTAGGCAAGTTATGTCATAAAATATAAAATAAATATTTTATCCAATTAAATGATGTGTTACAACTAAGATTCAATTACTAATAGATATAATGAGCCTTAAACACAAACACGATAATAATACGAGCCTTGTCCCCTAGAATCCTTACGTACCTTTTCAGGAAGTTTTCCTACTTCTTGTTTCTTGAAAAGGAAGGCTAGATGTTTCTCATATTTCATTTGATCATTTTAAATCTTTACATAAATCTATAACACTACATGTACATGTATGTAATCTGACACACTTTCAAACAGACACCAGATTAATTTTACTGAATGACATTTATCCAATAATACATGATTTACCAAACCTATATGTAGTTTGTACCATTCAAAATTCCTACACAATATACCTTTATCATTTACACACATTGTCAGTTTGACAATATATGTACTAACCCTGATTATTTCTTAGATATGAAAAAATAAGATTTTTTTCACATCGAGTTTTAACGTGTAACTTAAGCATTCTATTGGTACAGACATTTGTTCTGTTCTAAGTCTTGTGTCTGTGTTTGTTCTATTTTTTTTTCTCTAACATTTGTGATATATAAATGAGAAGTCAATTCCCAAAAGCTAAAAGACAAGATAAGCAAAATCCAAAAACAAGAAAGTCACATACCCTCTTCAATTGTATTCTATGCACCTACATGTATTTCAAAATCCAGAATAACGTCGCCCGCAATTGCTGCTTTGTGTATATTATGTATTATTCCCAATGTATACCAAAGCTTCTTCAAGAATATTTTTCACTGCTATGAGTGCCAGTATATCTTGTGCCAGGTTTTGGTTAGGTCCTGTAACGTAGTTTGCAATTGGACGTACTTGGTTGTCTTGCAAAGTAAATTTTCGTTTTGCTGCATCAAACTTTTGCTTTGCATGTCTGCTTCTAAACACACTGCTCAGATCACCAAAACTGTAGAGATCAAGTTCGTCAACCTTTGTTAAAATCAGCCTAAGAGGGATATCTGAAAATATTGTAACCTTAATTTTGATTTTTTAATATAAATTGGAATGTTTAATAACATAATTCAAATGATAATGGTTTATACTTTCTGATCCAATATGTTCTCTTATTTCTGCCAATTTCTGCATATCTTGCTCGTGTATTTCAGTAATGGAACTGGCATCAACAACAAATATGACGCAGTGCATTTTTTGATCAAATGTAGGATTAGCCCTGTAAAGTTGGTGGTTTTGTCCAATGTTTTGATTTCCTTGAAACTGAAAATATTTAAATAAAAAACGTAATTAATATTAAGAACTTGAAAGATAAATATAATTTAACTTTAACTTGTTTTAATATCCTATTTATTTCATTTATCTTATATTGATTTCTTCTTCCGATTTCTATTTATTTGTACATAGTAGAATAAATGCATACAATTTTTAAAAGTGAATAAAAATTTTAATCGGATCTTACAAAATCGGTTTGTTTAGTTTTGTAAGGGGAGATAAACTCCATGTACAGCAATTCTTCAAAGGCCAAAATATCTAATTTATTCAAAGAACCATAGATAATTAAGTCAAGTACTTTGTAATTTTCATATTTTTGTATTTGATGAAAGAGAATATCAATAATAACAAACATCTATTGAAATGCAGTAAAAATTTGGTAAATATTTCTTAAAGATCAATGTCTTCCTTTAACAAAACGCCAATGACGCCTGTGGTAAAAATTTGCGCCAAATCAAAACAAAAAACATAGTTATTGAAGAAAACTAGCGGGTTTACCATATCGATTAAAAAGTTGTTCTTACTTTTCTAAAATGTAATGTCGTTGCAAGCGAATAAGGAGAAAGAGGAGAGATTATGATGATCAAGATCAATTCGAAAAAAAAGAAATAATTAAAACTTAGGTATAATTTTTTTTTATTATTTTATGAGGCAAATTCATATAATATTCTTGTGGAAATACCCTTCTCTTTTCATCAATAAATTTTTATTTTAGTCGATGTTTGAAAAAATATCATATAATAATTTTTGAACTAGCGGTGCCTGAGCTTTTCAATTCAGATGACTTTCCTTGTGACGCGGTCTATCTTTGGGTACCGTGTTGTTGTTTTTTTTGTTTGTTTGGTTGTTTTTTTTTTTTTTTGTTTTTTGTTTTTTTTTTTTTTGTTTGTTTGTTTGATTTTTTTTGGTTGTTTTTGGTTGTTTTTTTGACCTTGAACCTGGAGGAAAAACTCGCATTTGAGAAACTTTGATCATAGTCAAGAATTACCAAACAGGGAGTTTATTGTGTCATCAATGCCATTTTAAACTCTTCTGACCTCCTTTCTACGTGTATTTTTGCACTTTAAATGTTTCTGTTATTGGTTTCTTATATGAATAAAAAAAACTAGCTCAGGTGTCTTGGCTTTGGACTAAGAAAACCAAAAGAATATATATATATTAATTATGATTATTTAAAAAATATTGATATTTATTGTATGCATTTGCTCTTTAAGAGTTAAGAAATGTTAGGTGAGCACTTAGAGATTTGGTTCAGTGTATACGAAGGTACTGGTGTGCTTCAGATAGATATAAAGAAAATATTTGGTCTCCTACCTAATAAATATATATGTGTAAGTGTAAATCACTGGATAAGTTTGTTTTAAATACCCTAGTAATAGATTTGACTGCAAAATATTTCTTTTCTTTCAAGAAAAAAATTATACATCTTGGAATTTTATTTCACAGATATTTTTTGTCTTTCATTCATGGAAAACATTGAGATGTTATGTTTCATACTCATCATTGTATCTTTGCCGTCATAACAAAGTGTATTTAAGGTCTGTTGAAAGTAAGCCCCGGGTATTTTTAACAAAACTTTTCAAGATTTTAATAATGAATATATAGAGATAATAGCACGTATTAATGTAGGTCACGCATGATTATTTTAACATTTTTATAATGAAAAAAAAATGACTATTGAAGTAAAAGCCTGAAAACATGAGTCAAAAGAATTGATTTTTTTTTCACCCGTACCTCATAGCCATTTTGAACATGACCTTCGATTACAGAAATGATATCATGCTGAATATCACCTGCATTGTCACATATACCGCGACAATCATAGAGTCTAATTTTTTTTCCTCCCGGGTATGTTTTCAACAATATTTCGTGAAGCTATTAACAAGAAAAAAGCAATTAATCAATGTACAATATATATATTAAAACCTTATAAAAACAAATACATATATCTTCCAAATTACTAGTATGTTAAATTCCCCCAAATTAAATGCAATGTAGTTTTGAAACTTCTTCAAATATAAAAGTAATTTGCTAAAAATTATTGTTGCTAGCTTAAAGGATACCTTCAATGTCGTTGAATCCATATGTTGTCCGTATGTCGTAGCTATATTTGTTATTTCTCCAGAATTCCTTAATACTGTTTTCAAGGTGTTTACAAGTGATGATTTTCCAGACCCAATAATTCCAGTCACAAGAAGATTCAAATTCAGGCATTGCTGTGGAGGCACTAGATTATCAACATCTTGCAGCAGTTGGTCTCTTTTCTATAATAAGAAAAGAAATTTCAATTAAAAAGCATTTAACAAAATCTCTAGGGTCTGCAGAATACATTATATTTTGTTCGAATGTTAGCACGTATCAAGTGTTTTTAAAATAAACCTTGCTGTCATTTGTCTATAAAATGTTTTGATTTTTCTCAATAAAATTGAGACCTACTCCATTCAATTATTTTGTCAATGGTCCTTTGCAAAATTAGTCTGTTAAAAACATCCTTTTTGAACACCACGAAATTTACATTTCCTGTGTTTCTGTTTGACATAATATTTGAAGTTTTGGGGGATCAAGTCTTCCTCACTTTGTTTAAATATAATTGTGCACAAATTTCCGTTGCCCTCAATTCCACATTTAGATACTAGTATATCGACGACTCTTCATCAATTAACAATACATGTACCTAGTTTCACTTTTATTCCTGCGTCGAAACAGTAATTCTTACGAAAACTTTTGCTAGAAAGCCTAAAGCTATATAAAACTTTTTCTACGTAGAGATATGCCCATGTTACCTGTCTATAAAATTTATGGATATCAATTGATTCCATATGCAAAAGCATGCCCTATGTACGAACGATTACAAAAGCTATTGACGAAAAAGATGAGGTCAGCATTGTGCAAGTGTTATATTCGACAGGATAAATTTTTACCAAATATATTCTATACTGATACGCAATTAAATAAAACGAAACAGGAGTTATCTTAAAATATTAGCATTTTTATCTAATGAATGTCAAAATGAACACAGTAAGGTAAATCCCGATAGGAAACATCAGCGATTTAAAAACACTTAATGATCATCTATTAACTTTAAAACAATAAAATAACTGCTAAAATAATCATGGTCTTTCAGTTAGCGTGCAAGGCACAGTATATGTAATATTCCAAAAGGAAAATCCCCCTTTCTTTACCCGGAACGATGCCTCCGCTTCCTGAAATTGATTTAGGTATGCATTATAGCCAGAAAATCTCAAAATAAAGTTGATGAAAAGTTGGAGAGGCAAATATGCACTACATCACGGCTCAACAGAATCATATATATCATGGTTATAATAATAGGTCATGGTTCGGAGGGGTTAGTACGTGGCGAATTGGGAATATTCGAACTCATCATGTGAAAAGCAGGCATTGAAAATTGCCAAATTTCTTTTGCTCGGATCTAGATCGCGAAATTGAGGTAGCTGCTGCTAATGCATCGTAGACGTTAAGCAGTTATTGATGTGCATGGCGTGTTATTTAAGATGAACAAAGACAAACCCTTACAATCCAATATCACTGACAAATGCTCGTTAGAAATGTTAAATTTTATTTTTAAGCGGACCCACACTTAATTTCGGTAATGCTTTAAAATCATTCAATTATTTGATAACCGATATCTGCAGAGTTGGAGATGTCTTCACAAGGTACAAAATTATTTCCTTTATCACCCACACGGAGTGCTTGGTGAGTTGAGATCGGTGGGTTGTAGATTTTTATTCCTCTAAATTTGTTTGCTACCTTTTTAAATTGAAGTCATTGATTCTAAGTTTGATAACTGTTCAGTATCATCAATTTTATACGGAACATTTACTGCAATTTGCAATTTGATAGACACATTGCCGTTATATAACCCCATAATCACTGCATATTTAAACAAAGTTGCATATTTGTGATTGCATCCGAACACTATAGGTTCATATGGTCGTTGTACATGTACAGTATTTTACAATTAATTTTGATGAAATTGATCATTGAAAGATTAATCACTATCCCTATGAAAAACATATGAAGGTTTCTCAAATCCTTGAGTTGGAGATATTTTTTTTACTTTAATATATTGCAAAAAATCTGGGATAGGTGAAACCCTACTGGTGAGTCTGTCGGCCTTTATTCTAATGTTTTTAATGTTTTTGGGAAGTTGCAATAATGAAATTTTTACGCATAACTGATGTAAAGGATCATCCTTTGGAATATTAAAGGTGTTAGTTTATATTTACGTAGCTGCAATTTATACCGTTTGATTGAAAAGGTCTCTATCATCGACTCCCCATGGTATCTTTAATTTAACTGAAAAAAAAACAAAGAATTTATATAAATATACTAAGTTATTTCGCTTATTATCTCGTTGAGTACAGCGGAAAGGAAATCTTTCTCTCCTCAAAGGTACGCGATGCCCAGTATTTATTGCTCAAGACGTAATAGATTCACAAGTTTTTTTTAAATAAAACTTTTATTCTTTTGTATCTTTGATTAATACCCCTCTAAAAAATCATTGTACAGTCCTTTTCAGAAAATGCACATATTATTTCAACTGTTTGGAATATTTTATGGTTTTAATAGAAACCTTTTGGATTTTTATAAAGCATTCGTCCCAAACCAGGTTATAAGGTTATATCGGTATAATTTTGGTTTCTTATTAAATTCATTCTTGAAATAGAATACTGATAAGTATACAGTCCTTTGTTTTCTTTTAACGTAAATATATTGAACCATGAATACTTCAACGTCGCTAAGCAAGACATTTGTAAAGATTTCTTGAGCAGTGACTATAAAACATAGTATAAAATCCATTTGGCAGCTTAAAATAGAATTGAAAATGATATAAAAATATTACCTCTGTTAGCCTTTATTTCATTAAGTTGTTCTGAAACATAATTTAAATGTGGCATGTTACTGTTACTTGTAAGTATTCAATTAATTTTAGTCAATTTTAATGCATGCTTTTAAAAAGCACTTTAAAAACCCAACATAACAATAACGTATGTTTCACTCTTTCCAGATTCTGGCTAAAAGAATTCAGGAAAACGTCAACATTAATACTAAATTTACAAGATTTATTTCCTGCATAGCATTAATATAATTTTTTTCTGAAGGTTAGAAACAGTCAGGCAATTTAGGCAGTCGGTTGGGAGAGGGCAACCACACTTGCCTGGCAATAGGAGCATTTTCTTATCTTCACAAATATACACGTAGTTCTTGATTGTTTTATCCGTAAGTTTGAATATTTTTTTTAAATTATGGTACATGTATTTGATTTTAGTAAACAAGAGGCCCACGGGCCTTATAGGTCACCTGAGTATCATGTAACAACTTTCCAGCGATTGTATCTGGTTCGTGTTTTAAGCCAAAAGCCATGAAATTCACAAATTTTGAAAGAGGCACCATTGCTTATCAAAGGGCAGATTTCAAAGCATTAATTTATTTTTAGTCAAAGTACCCCCTTGGTACCCCTGACCCAGCAGCCCTGAAATTATCTATTTTGAATGAGGCCCCTTTCTTCATTATAAGGCCAGCATTTTTTTTAATGTTTAGGTTTAGTTATGAACATGAGAATAAAAAAGTCCCGAAGGAAAAGGAAATAAATTTTTTGGATAAATCAATTATTAACATTTGTACATTCGTTTTTATGCTATCCTAATAGGCTCCTTACCACTGGACACATAATGCTTACAAATAGGAAAGTAGAACATTTAATTGCTTATTTCATCATCTGCCAGTTTGGGCCAGTTATTTAAATTTTGTGATGTTGATCAAAATATATTTTAAAAAATCAATTCTTTAAAAGTCTTTCAATATATCTTCATTTTTTAAATATGTGTTAGGTGAATGTGTAGACATTGTTCTAAAATTTACTTGATGCCTAAAATTATAATTCCTATCATAAAACAGACAGGAAGTATTGGGGAGTAAGGTCAACATTTTTTCAATTAAGTGTAAAATAATTTTTCTGGCTGATACAAATGATACTACATGCCTGTATATATTTGTATATTCTTGTCTTTTAATAGTTGAATTTTTTTTTTTTTTATTTCTTCATTTCAGGTTATTGTTTATTTCTTCCTCAAATGGACTTCACTTCTCCCATAGTTTTATTCATTACATCTGATGCATAAGCAACCCTTTTCTGAAGAATGATGCTTAGAATGTAAGCTATAACAGAGACCTAAACAATGTCCCTGGCAATATGCAATAGCTACCACGGGCAGTTTAAAACCTGGGGGAGGAAAATAATTTACAGTTACTTTTGAAACGAATACATAATTATCTCACCAGCATGTCATTGTGCAACAAAGTCGTCAGCATTTTATTTGTCCTTTGAACGGGTGAAACGTTTTGAATGGCACTCTTATCGATGAATTTTACACTAAACCAAGCTATCTTCTCAGATCTAGCTTTATTTACCCGCCGTTTCATCGTAAAACCGGATGTGCGAGTTCGTAAATTTGAAATCTAGATCCCGACTCAAATTTGACATCGGAAAGAAAAAAATTGTTTTATTTTTTTCTAAAAATTCAAAACCTTGAGCGGAGGGTTTGTAAAACTGAAAATAAAATAAATCCTGGCCTTAGATATGTAATTAGATCATTAGCATATTAACCAGGAGCAAAGGATAAGATGTTCAAAGAATTCATGCATTTCACTATATAATCATTAGAGCCCCACCCTAAAACAATAACCCCTGACCCTGGGGCCATAAAATTCACAATTTTGGTAGAGGCACTCTTGCTTATCATAACTATGTACTTAGTTTATTTAATACCCAGAAGCAGAGAAGAAGATTTTCAAAGAATTAATGCATTTTCACTATATAATCAATTGAGCCCCGCCCTAACACCAGAACCCCTGACCCTGGGGCCATAAAATTCACAATTTTGGTAGAGGCACTCTTGCTCATCATAACTATGTACTTAGTTGGTTTATTTAATACCCAGGAGCAGAGAAGAAGATTTTCAAAGAAATAATGCATTTTCACTACCTACTTATTTAGCCCCGCCCTAGCACTAGAACCCCTGACCCCAGGGCCATAAATTTCACAATTTGGTAGAAGACTCATTGCTGATTACAATCATGCAAACAGTTTGACTGCTTGATGTCCAGGAGTAAAGAAGAATATTTTTAAAGATTGCATTAATTTTAGTGGTTTTGGCCCCACCCCTCAGGCCCCAGGGGGGCAGGGATCATGAAATTCACAATTTTTGTTCCCCTTCACCCATAGATACTTTGTGCCAAATTTGGTTGAAACTGGTTCAGTGGTTGCAGAGAAGAAGCTGAAAATGTTCAAATGTTAACGCACGACGAACGACGCACGACGAACGACGACGGACGAAAACAGATAGCAATAGGTCACCTGAGTTTACTCAGGTGACCTAATAAATATAAAATATATAAACATTTAAATAATCTGTACTCGCAAGTTCGTATATTTGTACAGCCAATTCGTGCCAATATTCACCAATATAAGTTCAGTAATCCAATTATTTTATAATTATTCTTATGTAATTCTGTTGA